GCAGGAATGTTATTCAGCCCTATCTTCTTTAAAACTGGTTTGTTCGGTTAACTATTCTTTACCACTGAGAAATGAAAATACCTATTCCATTAGTTAGATGTATGGTGCTCCAAGTGTGAAGAAACCCACGTCTGACGCTGTTTCCACAGAATTATTTCCACCACACCCACTACTTGGAAGAATCCAATCCTGCTACAAATATGTTGTCCTGTTCATGCCACCTAACCAGTGCAGGGCATGGGAAAAGGACTGCGCTGTACTTCACCAAGACATTCATTGTTATTAACAATAATGATCACAAAAGAAAGGATCTACTTTTTCCCACTAGTCTCTACCAAAAGTACTTCAATGATTTTCAGCTGTGTGTGCTGCTGCCTCTGCTGCAGCTCCATTGGAGTGTCACTGGCAGGGCAGTGGAGGTACTATTGCACTTAAATCTACTCCACTGACCGCAGGGCACCACAGTGCAGCTGCTTTTCTCCTCTGGTCTCTTGAATCAGGTACTTGCTTCTCTCTTACACCAAATAAATTATTGGCAACAGCTTACATATCTTTATTAAGCAAATTAATTAATGTTATTTATTTGCCACTGCCACGTTTAGACTTTTCATTAATCTATTTAAATGATTATTGTAAATGTGTGTATAAATCACTTTTTGAAATCTGATAAAAGAATGCAGTGTTCCCAGGTTAGGTCAGTTGCAAATTGTGGTAGACTGGCCAAACTCTGGACAAGTACTTGCTAAGGATACTCTGCTGGTACAGCTACTCCTTCACTGCTTTCTGTAGTGTCTGACTACCAAGACTCCAAGAAATTCTGTGGCTGTGAATCGCTGGCATTTCAACACATTTTCTTTGAATACGTATTTTCTTTAGGAAGACAAGAAGAAAATAATTGTCTCAAATCTTTCCTTTTGGTGTTTATTCTCTGTGTACAAGGAGAGATCAAGCAAATGGTTGTATTTCTCAACAAGGCATTTACTTACATTCTTTGAGAGCAAGTTCTCCCTGCTACAAGCAGCAGGTGTACCTCACAGCATAGAACACAACAGTTCAGTTGTATCTCATAAGAAACATTGTGCAACCTCAGTGTCCCTTGAAGAACCTCATTTCCACCAGAACCTGACACACCCACCCCATGTAAAAAGAGATTAAACAAATATTTAATTCTGTCTGAGTCACGGCTTTTTGAGCTACAAAAGATGTTTCTAAGGGATGTTCCCTTAAATCTGCGTGCCTAAAAGCAGAACTGAGTAGTAAACTTCAGCATGACAAGGATGCACCTCAGTGCCAGAAAATGTGCGTCTTCTTCATATTGTATGACAGGAGGAAGGTGCAGGACAGAGCAGGGAGAGAGCAGGGGCCGCATCATTGGTCAGGGGAGCCTCATATGAGTGCAGGTTGTGGCTGCTACAGTCGTGAAACAGGTCATGCTGAGTCCTATCTCAGTGATGTGACAGTGAGAAAGTGAGGAAGAAAAAAGCTCTTTTGAGATAGGACTGTGACATGGTGAAATGTCAGGTAACAGAATGATGCTGATTCATATTTGGCTATAATTGACTAGCAAAAAGAGAAATTAATTGACAAAAAGCAACTTAGGACGGTGTCACTGAATACTGACAAATATCTAACAGACTTTTTGTCTCAAAACACAATTGTGAAAACACACAAGTTGGTTTAGGGATTTTTTTTTTGTTTGATTATATTTTACTTATGTTCCACATAATTAAAAAATCAAAAATTGTTTTAAAAAGGCTTATTTCAAAATAGAAATATAGGAAAACGTTTATTCTGAAAACTGCTAAAATTTGATTTTTGCCGTTTTTCAGACAAGTTTGTCTAAGTCTTCATTAAGACAATTGCCAAAAAATGAACATAAGGATTTCTAAAGTCACTCTTTTTGGAACAATGTTTTAAAAAAATCTTAATAACCTGCAAGAAGCTTTGTCTGGTGATTGCAGAAGATTATACTCTCCACCGTATGCTTTGCAATTTACAACACTTCACACAATGTTCAGGGTATCTGCCTACCTGTGTCTGTATATCTTTTTTTCTTGCAGAAAGTGTTCATATTTTCTGGAACTTTCCGGATGAATTTGGATCCTTATGGGCAGTGGAGTGATGAAGAAATATGGAAAGTTGCAGAGGAGGTAAAATTCTTCAAAGTTATTAGTATCTCTCTGGTGATGTGGTTACTACAGCAGAATGCAGTGTAGATCAAGTGACTGTCATATGTTACACTTACGTGGAGTCTTAGGAAATAAGAGGAAAGGTGTGTGCTGTAAACCAGGTTTCCTTATTTCCTAATAAAAAGGTGCCTTTGTCAGAGATTAAGTTAAAAAAAAAAAAAGATGAACTTCCACACAGCACAGTCTGGGTTACTCCTGCAGTGATTTAGCATAGGTGAGGTTTTATGTTTGGCTGTGACGGGTGACCCTGAGAGAAAAAACAGTGGAGGAAGCTGATACAGAAAAAAGTCCTCTAATATTTTCTTATTTTAATACTTTGCCAAATATATTAAATCTCTGCAAGGCATTTTTCTACCAAAATGTGTAAAGATGACCTGTAAACATTTTGGAGGCCAGGAATAAAGTGAAACATGTCTGTGGCCTGCCCTAGAAATAAGACTGGTGTTATTGCAATAGGAAATATGTATATTCAGCTTAGAAAAATCTGTCCTCAAGATATTTTCCAGCTACTGCAATTCCTAGGCCAGCTGAGAAGGAGCACTTCCTGACACTGCAGTCAGGCTTACGCACTGCTTGTGTCACGGGCAGCTGCTCTGTCATGGAAAGTAAGAATCATGGGATTTTGTGGGAATCATAGATTTTGTGAACCTGAAGGTTTTCTTCCAATTTTATGTTGAGAACTTTTGGTTTCAAATTCCCCAAGTTTAGGGGCCAGATGTTTACAGTTCTGTTCCGTGATGAGCTGAAGCCCATGCATTACGGTTGTCAGATGCCACCTATTGGCTCTGGTAGTGCTTAGTAGGTGGAACAGGTAACATAAGGCCCAGAGAAAAGGCAGATGAGAGTTAGGGGAGGGTGTCCTGGGTTCAGCTACAGCAGT